CTAAGGGCAAGAACAAAGTTACTTCATCTACAACTGCCTCAGAAAATCCATTTACCTTGATTTCAAAGAATTATGCAAAAGATTTTAAGCTCAAGCATATGAATCATCTTGTTGTTAAGCAATACATGTGGAAGAAGGATACGATTGAAGGCTTGTGCCTACCCGAGGTTGTGATGCGAGTTAAGCATCAAAACATTGATTACTTTTTACAGTTTGCTCATGACTACAATGATGATCATATCCGTGTGTTTTACTCTGGTCTACATGAAAAGGATGGTGTTAGCTTCAAATTCTCTATGGGTAACAAAATCTATCATTTCACAAATAATTTATGGAATACCTTATTTGGAATTACTGTTAGTGATCCGGATATTGATGAAGTGGTAACCGATGAGGTGGTAACCAAATCAAACACGCATAAGGATTTTGATTGGAACGTTCACCTGAATGAAATTCTCAAGGCTCCTCGTCCGACAGACTGTTATGATCCCCTTTCCATATGACAATTGAAGATTCTTCCTAGGATCTTGTTGTGGATTGTGTCTCACATCCTACTCCTTAAGAATGGAGGCTTCTCAAGATTTGATGTTCTTGAAATTCATCTGGTTTACATTTTGCTGCACAAAATCAAGATAAGTTGGCCACATTATTTTGTGCATCACATGTTCACTGTCAGGTCGTACAAGAAGGGTAAACCCTTGTGCTATCCTTTCATGATTGCTAAGATTTTGAATCATTTCAACACTGGTCTAGAAAATCTTCTCTACATATCACCTAGCTCATCTCAAGAGTTTTCGCAACGTACTCTTTTGAACATGAATTACTTTTAGGATATTAATCAACGTGCATACTATATTAGCTTGGGTAAGAACGGAAGAAAGATTTTAACTTTGATGATCCAAATTCTATTGATGAAGAGGCTGAAGAAAATCATATGGATGATGAGCAGCCTGGTGAGATCCCTCATAGTGTTCTAGAGGGTGATGCTACTATACAAGATGCGGATCAGAGAGTTGGTCACGGTGGTGGTTTTCATGCTAGTTATGGTGATATTGTTGCTATAATAACCATGTTGAAAAACATGTAGATGCAACAAGATAAAAGGTATGATGCACAGACGGAGGATTTTCGTCTAATGCAGGAGCATATGGCTACTCAGGATGCTGATTTTCAGTCGTTTGGTGCGCATACGACTGATAGTCTCATGTCCATATGGAACATTATTAATTAAAACCATGCTGATGAGATGGAGAGGATCAATTACATGATCAGAGCTTAAGAGGATGATGTTGCTCACTTTAATCGCTTTTATCGCGAAGTCTGTGAAGCTGCTGCCATGGATAGAAGACCAAGGTCAATACCAAGAGGACGTGCAAGGAGTTGAAGTGTGCTAGAGATGTATTGTTGTTCTTATTTTTGTCATGTTGTGTCCTTTTGTGTTGCATTTTCTTTCTAGCTTGTGTCTTTTGAATTTGGTTTGTTGTATTTTTAACTTATTATGGTTTGCTACTTGCTTTTGGCTTGTATGAATAATAGTCTAAGATGTTTAATGGTTGCACTATGTGTGTGACTTACATAAATCTTATGCATGTCGTTGTATTTTATTATGTTTGTGTTCTTTACATATGTGCCGTATGTGAGTGCACCATGTATTCTTTGCAATTGCCTCTGTGTAGTATATGACATATGTGAATTGTGCATCTATGTGATGCTTCTAACGGTTTCCTTATCTCTTTTTGATGTTGTCAATAGGGGAGAAGATTATGAAGAGGATAATGCACAAATTTAGGTAGAGTTATTCAGTGTACTGAAGAAAAACGCAATGGATGTATGATTCAAGTTTTGCCATCATCAAAAAGTAGGAATATGTGAGTGCATTCTTTCATCTAGCCATGTTTTGAATGGTGTCAAAACTAGGACAGTGTTTTAGCGTTTTTGTATATTCGGCAGTATCAACCAAAATTTAGATGTGCATTGAATCATTTTATACCTTAGGCATGCCACACACATCAAAAACAAAGTTTCATATGTAAACACAATTGCATAGGCCGACACATACAAGATAAGTCTGACCTATAGAAGCTTTTGCTTAAGTATAGGTCGACACATACCTCTTACAGGCCGACCTCTACGCATCAATATTAAAGATTGTGGGCTCTGTCCATAGGTCGCCGCACTTAGGTCGATCTGAATACCTTGACAAATCGGCCTATTGTTTTTATAAGCCGACTTGTAGTTGTCAAAAACTTCAAATTTTGTTTTGCATCTTCTTTTTCTTGCATCCTTTTTGCCTATTTCTAGACATACCTATATATACTCATACATGCATTTTTTTCTAGTAAGGTACTAGTGTAAAACCTAAACAAAACCAGGTTACAAAGCATTCACATCATCTTAAACATTTCTTCTATGCATACACACAATCAAACTACACATAATCATTTTTCGATCGGGTGATCATCTAGATTAGTGTTGATAACGTCTAATTAGGTTGGTGTAACCGAGAATATTGGGTTGGATAAGAAAACCTAGGTGGGATTTTCTTTCAAGATCATTGGGATTTGAAGTTTTGGAAAAGATCACACTAACACAAATTTGACTGATTGAATGTCTTGGGACAAGGTGGTTTCCTTGCAAGGGAGTAACGTGAGACGATGAATCGTGTTCGGGAATCTTGGGTTCAACAAGTGTGCGTTCGGGATAATATGTGCATTGTAGCAGCGTTGTTGGTGACTTGATCAAGCTTTGATCAAGGGTTTGTAGGTGGTTGAATCAATAACAAACCATAGGGTTTGTGGGGTTAGAGTTCTTCACCTTTTGTATATACATTTTTGCAAAAATAAGGTTAATTGCAAGTATCTCAATTCGATTTCGGATGAGAGCATATATGTCCATAGCGAGGCCGATTGGGGAACTGCCTAAACAAATCTTTGTGTCTATCTCTCTTTATTGATTTATCTCTTTAATTGTTGTTCTTGCAAGTTATCGATTTCGTTGTTGTTTCAGTTAATTCGATTGAAAATTATTTTCAACTATCTTTTAAAGTGGTGTTGTTTATATAATCATAATCACTTTGATTGTGATTGACTTTTAACATCATCAAAACAAATTGAATTTCCAAACATTATCGATCTCACACAAAGTGTTTGATAAATTACTTTTGAGTTGTGTTCATTGGAAATAAGCTCTACGTATAACTTTGTAATATTTACCTAAAATTCAATCTTCCTTTGCTCTCTGTGATATGTTGAATCAAAAGGATGGAGATTTAGAGTGACAAAATGGGTTGAGAACGAAGGGTTTTTAGGATGAAGGTTTTTGTTGAAAATGGAGTATGGCAACAATGGGGGATTGATCATACAGCTGCAAGCTATATTAAATACTTTCGAAGATGCATCTCCGAAAATACCTGACTTACAAAAATAAATCAAACATATGAGGCGCATCTCAGAATTGCCTTGATTGCGTATGTAAATGGTGTGTCTGGAGATATATATCTGAAACGGAAGAGCATAATTGAAAATCCAAACAGTACGCTAGAAACTTATAAGGTGTAATATGAAATTCTCAAATAAAATTTATTTCACATTTTTAAGGATCAAAATGATTGTTAGTGAATAGTTAAAAAAACATTGATCATAATTGTGAGATTTTGATTCGAACTCTAACTCTGTCGAATAATAACTTTCATGTGTTTCACAAGAGATAAGTATGAAGTTGAAAATGGGTCGCATGCTGTAGTCGAAGGATACATATTGTAGTCAAAGTCAGTTCTAATATGTATTGTCGAAATGTATGTCGAATTGGGACTTGTGTTAAGGATCCAATTGTTTAGTTAGTTAAGATTGCAAGTTATCTAGTTAGTCTATAGATAGGCTAGATCACTCAGGTTGTTGAATGAGACTAATTGTGATATTCATTTGTAATCATTTGTAAAAAATTGAATAGTAAACTATTTGTTCTAATTTTTCTTCTTTTTTTTTTTCCTTTCTTCTTTCTCTCTTTGTTATAACTATTTTTTCATTGTTCACTCAAAAACTCTTTTTCTTTGTCCTTTCTTCTTTCTCTCTGTTATAACTATTTTTTCATTGTTTGTCTTTCTCCATTTTTATTTGTTAAAAAGTATCATTTGCAATCACTAAAAATAATAATTTGCCAGCCAAAACAAGCGGATGTAGTAGAGTGGTTTCTCGGTTAATCCTTGCCACCAATGCACTCAACTCAACCTATCCTAAGAAGACCACAGTTAAGAACACAGGAAACTAGATCTTTTGTTTTGAATACACAGTTAAGAACACAGGAAACTAGATCTTTTGTTTTGAATACACAGCTGTGAACTTTGCATGTGGAATAGGTCAAACAAAATGTCTAAAATATTAGCATTAATAGGCCTGCCAGCAGTTGCATGCTAAAGCCTACAAAAATGTTACAATTACCAGTGATTGCAAGATCTTGTTGCTGAACCCAATCCAGGGGACCACTTTAACTCACATGCTCTTCCATTTGACTCTTGACCATTCACTACCAACCATTTATTAACAAGCCCACAGATCATTTTATATTATTATAAAACAACTTCATCTGAGTTGCATAGCAATATAGCACAGCATAGCCATAACATGGTCTAGATTGATTCCATACATCTTCCACTTTGTGCCTAAATTGCTCAAAACATGTGTATGCATGTGAATAGTAATTTTACATTACATAAACTAACATTAAATTACAAGATACATCCAAAATCTCAAGTAAAACAAACAAATCACATGATATGAGACTTTCTTTTCCAATTCCCCTCCAAAAACAATATAAAGAATTGGAAGAGGAAACCATAATTTTGATCTCATTCTTGAACTATTGTTTCTTCTTATAAAAGTAATACACTATCAATGAAACAAAATTATGATCCATCCACAAAATAAACACATTGCATATATTAAGCAAATAGGTATGAATAAATCAAAACTAAAATAAAACACTATCAAATGGCTCTCATAGGACTAGCCTCTGGCAGTGAGCAATGAAGGAACAGCTGATAAATTTGGTGTATTGTCCTTCTCAGAAGTGCTTTTGTTATCTTTAGAACTGCTTTTACTGCTAAAAGCTCTCATAGGACTAGCAAGTGCCCAACCCCAACTACTTCTACTTCTTCCATCTTCACCAGAAGAAACCCAATAAGATGAAGATGAATTCATCATCATAAAGCCACCGAATATTCCACCGCACTTCACTCTATCTTTCATACAGTGTTGAATATTTCTATTTCCAGTAGCATCAACAGCAGCAGAAGAAGAACAAGAAGATGGAATTACCTTATTAGCCTTGCCTTCACGTTGAGATTCAACTCTTCTTAGAGTACAGTCTCCAAACCCAGTTGAGAATTTCTCAAAGAAATCGCCAGAGAAGCTTCTGCTACCACATCCAACAGATCTAGATCTTGAAACCTTGCGTTGTTCTTGCTCAAAGCAACCAGAACCAGAACTTGAACCAGAAGCTTCTTCTTCTTCCTCCTCTTCTTCTTCAACTACCATGTCACAGTTTCTTCCTACAGAAGGACAAAATTTCGGTTTCACAGCTGAGATCCTTGGACTACTGTTACCGTCGACGCTGCAGCTTTTTTCTTCCATTTTCTTGCTGCAGGAGCTAGAGGGTTGTTTGGAAGAAGAAAGATGGAGAAAAGACCAAAAACGGTTCCTTTTTCTGGTTTTGAAATCTCCATTTTCTACACCATCATCGTCAAGAAACTTGGTTCTTCTGGGTGTGGCACTGGCTATGGATTTGCTACGCTTGAAAACAACATCAGAAGTAACGTTTGCAGAAGAGGAAGATGAAGGGTTTGTGTTCATGTTGATGGAAGAAGGTTTCTTCTTTTTGTTCTTGTTTGGTAAAAGAAAAGGTAAACGTGAACGCATGTGATGATCATGTTTGTGGGAAGTTGGAGGGACATAGAAGGAATTAAGAGAAGATGAAGAAGAAGTTGGAAGAGTTTGGGATCTGAAAGAAGGTGGAGAAGAAGGAGGAGGAGAGAGCGAAGAAGATGAAGGAGTCATTGGAAGAGGAAAGGAAGAAGAAACAAGTTTACCAAGTTTTTCTTGAAGACAAAAAGCACATATACCACCAGGGTTTTTTCTATGAGGATGGTTAATGCAATATTGTTGCATTGATCCGTCACAAGTTACATCTTCTTCTTTCATTGTTTCCAAGTGTGGAAGGATTGTGAAAATGGAATGAATGATTAGGCTACTTTTTGTTTGTGAAAAGGGTGATGATATTATGAATTGCTTTTTGGTTTTGGTAACTATAGAGAGAATGGGGAGTGAGGAACAAAAGAAGAAAAGGGTGTTGAAGTTGGGAAGATAGAGAGAGAGATGGATGTATGTATTGTAGGTGTGAAAGGGGGAGTGAGTGTTTTTGAGGAGCACGTGGGAGACTGACTTGGAAATGTATTAAAAAAAGTGTGAAAGAGACAAGAGAAGCACTTGTGAGTTTAATGTGAGGGTGAGAGAGTGTCAATAGGCCAAACACAAGAATTCAATCATGACACTCCTCCATTCCCCGACCCTTATTTTGGAAGGGAAAGTTTCTCCCTCCTTAGCTCACTTTATATGAAATTATGATGTAAATAATATAAAATAAATAATACTATCTCCGATGATTTTTACAAAAAGTAATTTATTTATTTTTAGATATTATATATATATATATATATCAAATACTAATTTTATACTTTCTAATTTTTACAATTACGAGACTTTTAAGTTTTTTTTGGTCAGATACGTCAGTCATATAAGCACATTAATAAAACTTTGAGTCTCTTATTCGATGAGATTTGAGATGTCTTCAAGTTAATCTTATCACATAAGTAGAGTGTATACTCTATTCTTAAAAATATATTTCTCTAATTTGGCATGTTGTGAATAAGATGTCTTGAAATAAAATATAAACAGTTTTTTTATAGACCAGAAATATACAGGGGTTAGGGTTAACAAAGAAAACAAGAGAAAAATAACAAGGATTGGTTATAAATTGTTTTTCTTTCCTTTATCTATCAAACAAGATTACAAGTATACAAGAATAACAAATAACTTTTCTCTCTCTTGAATTATGATTTTATCTTCCTATGTTTCCTTATACAAGATGAGAGACTAGCATGTTATTTATAAGAAAAATAGAACACTAACCTAATGGGTTTTTTAACAATGATCCATTACAAGTTAACTTAGGGTACAAGCTAACTTAAACAATTGGTAGATAAGGTAACAACATTCTGAAGTGATAACTCGACCTTGAATTTTCAGCTATTTTGCAAAACCTTCAAGCCACAATGCTTCTTTCACAACTTCAGTTAGGGCGATATATTCCGCTTCAGTGATAGATAAGACAACAAAATTCTTAAGTGTTACTTTCCAACTGATTATTGTCTCAAACATAATGAACACATATCCAAAAATAGATTTTCTGGAATCCATACAACCTGCATAATCAGAGTTGACATATCCTTCAATTGCTGATTTACTATCTTCACTCAAGGCTCCACCATAAATTAGGACTATATTTATAGACCTATTTATGTACCTTAGAATCTACTTCAATGCTTGCTAGTGAGCCTTTCCAAGATTCGCCATGTACCTGCTTACAAGACTTATTGCATATGTTATGTCGGGTCTAGTACAAACCATAACATACATCAAAGAATTCAATATATTAGCATATGGAATATTATTCATATAAGTTTTTTTGATATTAGTGTTGGGACACTGATCTATACTCAGCTTGAATTGAGGGTTTGTTGGAGTCACAACAGGCTTTAAATTTTACATACCATACTTTTTTAGAATCTTCTGTAGGTATGCCTTTTGAGATAAGCATAATTTCGACTGTTTTCTATCTCTTCGGATGTCAATCCCAAGAGTCCTGGACGCAACTCCCAGATCCTTCATGTCGAACTCCTTATTGAATTCAGCATTCACCCTCATTACATTTTTGACATTGTTGCTTACTATTAGAATATCAGCCATATGAAGCAACAGAATAATAAATGAATTACCAGGTCGAAATCTAAAGTAAACACAGTGGTCAAACTGACTTCTAATTAAACTTATGCGTGTCATGAACTTGTCGAATCTCCTATTCCACCGTCGAGGAGATTGTTTTAGTCCATATAAAGATCTATTCAGTTTGCACACATAATCTTCCTTCCCTTTTTCGACATAACCTTCAAGTTGTCCCATAAGGATTGTTTCATCTAGATCATTATACAAGAACGCAGTCTTCACATCCATCTGTTCCAATTCAAGGTTGAATTGTACCACTGTAGCAAGCAACATTCGGATGGATCTATACTTCACAACAGGAGAGAACACATCATTGAAGTCACACCTTCTTTCTGAGTGAACCCTCTAGCAATCAATCTTGCCTTGTATCTCTTCAACGTCACTCCTTCGATCCCTTCCTTAACTTTGAAAATACATTTACATCTGACTAACTTGGCTCTGGCAGGTTTCTTGATCAACTCCCAGGTGTTGTTATCATAAAGAGATTTCATCTCATCATCCATGGCCTTCAAGCATTTAGTCTTCTTTCGACTCCTCATAACTTCCTTATAGTCTTTAGGTTCTTCGTCTAGAACCTCACTTGCAGAGATTAAGGCATAAGCTATAAGATCTGCATACCCAAGTCTCTGAGGTGGCTTGATGACTCTTCTCGACCTGTCTCTTGCTAACAGGTAGTCATTATCAGTCTCCTCATCTTTGAAAACATCTTTTGCGTCTTCTTTGACTTCATATAGGATACGTAAATCAGCATCAACATGCTTCACCTCAACAGGAACCTCTCCTTGTTCCAGCTCTTCGTCAGCATCATCAGTTTTCTTGAAAGTCGTCTCTGCTTCATTGAAAACTACATCTCAACTAGTGATACACCTTTTGTAACCTGGCTCTAGGCATCATATCCTATAAGCTTTGATTCCTTTAGGGTATCCCATGAACATGCATTTCAGAGCTCTAGGTTCGGCCTTATCTTGCCTAATATGAGCATAGGTCATGCAGCCAAATACTCTCAGTCTGACGAGACTAGGTGGATGTCCCGACCAAACTTCTTCAAGTGTCTTCATTCCCAAGGCAGTCGAGGGACATGCATTTATCAAATAGGCTGTTGTCGAATCAGCCTCCGCCCAAAACACCTTCTTCAATCCAACACTAACCAACATGCATCTAACCCTTTTAAGGATTGTTCAATTGAATCTCTCAGTTAAGTCGTTTTGTTGAGGATTACCTGCTACAGTCTTATGCCTTGAAATTCTGAACTCAACACAGTAACTGTCAAACGTTTCGTTGCAGAACTCAAGGCCATTGTCGATTCTCAACCTCTTAACCTTTCTGCCAGTTTGAGTTTCAACCAGAACCTTTCAACTTTTGAAATTCTAAAAAGTTTCATCCTTCGTCTTCTGGATGAATACTCATAACTTTATGGAATAGTCATCAACGATGGATATAAAATACCTTGCACCTGAGTGTGAAGGATTCCTAGCAGTTACCCAAAGATTAACATGAATGTAATCCAGGGATCCATGTGTTCTTTGCTTGCCTTTGTTAAACTTCACCCTACAAGATTTACCAAATACGTAAGATTCACAAAACTCTAACTTTTCGACTTTGTCACCTCCTAGGAGGTTCTGCTTCCCCAATTTGACCAGGCCTTTTTCACTGACATGGCCCAATCTCATGTGCCATAATTCTATCTTCGACAACGGTTTTGTGGATGCAACATTTGTCGAACCACTTACAACCTCAGCCTCAAGGGTATACAAGCCTTGTTTTTTCACGCCTCTTAAGACCTCCTTCGACCCCTTCATGACTCTTAGAATAATTTTATCTCCTTAAAAAACATATCCATTCCTGTCAAATTCACCAAGAGAAATCAAATTTCTTTTCAAATCAGGTACATACCTGACTTCAGTCAATAACCTTATTGACTCATCATGGAGCTTGAATCTCACAGATCCAATACCTGCAATTTTCAAGATTTGTTATTTCCCAACAGCACTGATCCACCATCTTGATCATATAGCTTCTCGAACAATTCTCTGTTTGGAGTCATGTTCCAAGTGCAACTTGAATCCAAAATTCACTCTTTTCTTGAGTCGCCACTTGAAACCACAATAACATCAAATAAGTCGAAGTCATCTTGAACAATGGATGCGTTGCCATAACCCTTACCCCCATGATCTTTCAGACGTTTAGGGCACACCTTTCTTGTGTGACCCTCCTTCTTATAGTGATAATATCGAATACCAGATGTTTCGCCACTATAAGACTTCTGCTGACTTTTACCTTTCTTTTTGTCAAACTTACCATCCTTTCGCAAGAATTTTTCCTTAACGGCCAAATCTTCGCCCACCGTCGAAGGTTTATGCTCCTTTCATTTGTCCAAGTCCTTAGAATATAAGGCTAATTGAACTTCTTCAAAGCTCAGGGATTCCCTTCCATACAAGAGAGTTTCTTTGAAGTGAGCATGTGTTATGGGCAAAGCACACAACAACAGCAGTGCTTGGTCTTCACCATCGATCTTCACATCAATATTTTCAAGATCAAGAATCAACTTGTTGAACATATTCGACTGCTCATCCAACACTTTGTCTTCACTCATCTTGAATGAATACAAAGCTTGCTCCAGGTAGAGTCAATTCACCAAAGATTTGGTCATGTACAAACTTTCAAGTTTTACACATAACCCCGATGTTGTAGTCTCCTTTGATACCTGACGAAGAACCTTATCACCAAGGATCAACAATATTGCGTTGTGGGCTTTCTCAATCATGGTCGTCTTTTCTTTTTCCGCTAATGCAATATCCATGGTTGCCTCTCCCTTCAACGCTTCCAAACAACCTTGCTGAACTAGTAGGGCTTTCATCTTCAAGCGCCACAGACTAAAGTCGTTCACTCCGGTGAACTTTTCAATCTCATACTCTGTTGAAGGCATCTTTTCCACACTCACCGCACCAATTTGTTGTGAATAAGATACCTTGAAATAAAAATAAACGGTTTCTTTATAGACAAGAAACACACAATGGTTAGGGTTAACAAAGAAAACAAGGGAAAAACAACAAGGATTGGTTATAAAATACTAGTCTTTCCTTTATCTATCAAACAAGATTACAAGTATACAATAATAACAAATAACCTCTCTCTCTTGA